ACTCACTGTCGACCATTTCTCGTGTATTCGTTCACTTACTCTATTGAATATCGATGATGAAACGGATCGTCTATTCAATATTGCAATATATCATCTTACAGTGAATCTTGTTCATCTCTCTTTGTCGTATGTTAGATCAAATTGTTGGTATCTTTTTCTCTCCATATATCCCAAACTGCGTCAATGTCTCTTGCCAAATGCAACATTTTCTACAGAGCTTATTGAACTTCAACCGAACACAGTCCAATGTCTTCAAATTAGTCATAAACAAAGTCGAATACACGAAGTGGCCACCATACTTCTTTCTCATTCGCCTCATCTTCGACGGCTCAATCTGCACGTGGCGAGCGATATTAATGAGTCATCGAATATACGACCTTTTGTTCATCCTTCTTCTCTTCCATCATCGGCACTCATCCATCTGACTGTGCAATCGTCTTTTTTGTTTTTCTTGTCGATCGAATGGCTACTTGCCTATGCACCTCGTCTTCGAACTCTTCATATTCGAGTGATGTCATCTTGTGAACGAATGGTCAATCCGAACGAATGGAAACGAGTTTTATCATCTAATCTTACTCGACTCGATGTCAAAGTAGAAGTAAAGGAATTAGCCATTTTGCCGTTGAAAATTTCCCAAGAAGACAATGATTTTTGGCAATCGCGACAGTGGATCGTCACGATTATCACCGATCCATCTCCCTATCTTCATATGCACAATTGACGATGCATCGATCTATTCATTGCATGCTTTAATGTTCAATGCACGTTCAATAGTCTTCTCGTATTTACTTCTCTATGGATATTATTATGCAAATTCATGTCGATTGACTAGAGTAATTCTCTTTCCCATATTGAATGTTTGAAAAACTGGTGCAAACGAGCGTCGATCATGAAAATTTTTAATAAAATACTTTCAACCTTTATTACTCTCTTAAGATAGCTTGTTGGTCATCAATTTCGACGGTCGAATCGACAAACATCAGTTTTCGCCTAATTGTCTGGACTAGCGAAAAAAAAACTGTTTAATCTTTCGTTTTCAAAAAGATCAGTAATTTATCAGATTTATAGAGAACATAAAGGAATTCATCTTTACATATAATATTGTATTGGATCGGCTGTTCAACTAACACGACACATAGATTCCAGATTTTTATATCGCTTAGTCTTCGTGTTGAGAAAAAACCTTAATCATATTATCGTTTGATTGACAAGTTTCGAAAATATACCATCAAAAAATGTTACATAAGAGTGATATTTTTTTTTCTTTTGGGCTACATTAAAGTACTCACTTATATAATCAGCTGTTCGATTTGTGGGTGGGTGTGGGTGTGGGTGTGGGTGGGTGTGGGTGTGGGTGT